CACACACACACACACGCGCGCGTGTGAAATCCCACGACTCGCGGGAATAAATGAACACGATTTCAGAAAAGAACACTATAATGGAATAGGAGATTACAATAAATACAACAGAACTCGCGCCCGCTAGCTCTCTACCAAAGGCGATCTCCAATCCCAAAACAACAACCGTCGCGTCGATAGGAAATGATCTTCTTGATTGATCGATATTTGGGGGAGAGGGAGGGGGACGACGAGCGGACCTCCATTCGATAAAAATATAAATGACATTTTTTTTAATCAATATTATCTATATTATATACATATTACTTAATATTTTGTTATTTACCGCTGTCAATTACGAGACAACTATTCCACATAATTTTTCATGAGGAAGTCTTCACAAGGAACACGACAGTTGTGTAAAAGTGATATAATGAGAAGCTTATATTATGCCGCTATATTTATCGACTCAAATCTCGTGGAGAAGACGATTTCCGAGGTAAAGAGACCGTCGCCGTCGCGAAACGTCTCGTCATGTGGTATTTATGAATAAAGCCCGGGGAGCAGCGGCCGCGACAAAAGGGACGGAAGCGTCGCTTTTCTTCGGGAAAGCGGGACATCCATTGGGATTCATCCATCACCGGCGATATAATTGAGAAAGCAGATCGCCTCCATTCAGAATTTACATTTTCAGCGCCGCGGCGCTGGAACTCAATTTATCCGTTTATCCGTGCCATCCCCCGAACGGACGGACAAGCGAGGTAATACACTTCCGAGTCATTAGTGGGGGAGTCCCACTTTGTGCCCCTGGTTGACGTCGCGAATTTTTCACGAATTTCCGTGGCGCCGCCGCCGCCGCCGCCGCGTTTCATCGGCCATCGGAAATTGTTACGTTTATCAACTTACATCTCGAAACGGTCTACAGCAACGAAAATGCACGAGATTTTCGAAAACCGAGTGTAGCTCTATTAACGACGACGCCTTGTATATTGCATTAATTAGCGAAAGCATTTATGAATATTCAACGGTTTGTAATTTCTTATTGTGAGAGAGAGAGAGAGAGAGAG